TTTTCATTCTGTGATACACTAGGTGTGGCTTTACTAAAGTGCATCCCATGTTTTCAAGTAGCTGAATATTCTGAAACCCCTATCTGCCATTATATGGGATCCAGGAACCAGTTTGTTTAAATACCCACAATTTTTCTATTATTTCTTTATCACTAGTTCTTCCACAAAATGATGAATAAATTCGGTATCTTCAAAACTTTCAGGAGATTCTGCATTTTTTTCCAGAAGGGTTTTTAGGTTATACACCTAAGAATTTATAGTAGCCTCATTTTCAATTTCCTGAAGGGGACAATTCGCAGAAATTGCTACTACATCTTGATAATCCGGTGTATTTTTATTAAAAAGTTCACGAGAAACATCGCCAGTAGAAGGTTGATTTTCTTCTTTCCAAATTTCTAGGAACACTAATAAATATTTTTGAAGATGAATGTGAATCATTATCACATTCTGGAACAAAACACTTTTTCGTAGTCATAATATTTATAAAAAGTACAAAATTAAACACTCAAATTCCAAATAAATTCTTGATCGCGACACTATGATGACAGATGCCATACACAGTGCTGCCATTTTGCCATTTTTTGAATTATTAAGTGACTTTCAAAACAATGAAACTTTAAATATGATAAAAGTTTAAACAGAAATAATACTTTCAAAAAACATTAAATTTGATATTATGTATTTAAAAGATATTTGTTTAACAATGTTTTAGAAGTCTAAAATTAAGAAGGAGTACACAAACGAACGTACATCACTTCTCGTAAACCTTCTAGCCGGCAACGTTGTGCGCTAGCTCCTATTGGTCTATTCCCGGTGACGTCATAAATTTTAAAAAAATTCATAACTCCGGCAAATGAATAGATAAAAAAAAAATAAAAAAAATGTAGTTTTATTTTCAACTCTATTATTCATAAAAAAAATTTCAAAATTTTTGAACATGCCCCATTTCAGTCAAACTAACATAATTTTGTGTAAATTTTTAAAGATATTTAACGTGTACACTGAAAAAAATATTAGTTGGATTTAAGAAAATAATGTTATTGGAACACAAACGTTTCGAATTCAATATACCTATTAATAACATCAACAGAAAATACTCAGGATCAAACAAAAGGCCAGTTGAAGAGAGAAATAAACAAGTAAACACGTGAGCTATTATAATGTATGTTGTCCTGTCACGACTTGGAGGGTGCAAGAAATTCAAACCCTTGAAGGGCTATAAGATGTAGGTACCATGTCTGTAACCAAATTTGCAATAATTTGTTAAATTGAGCAAGTTATTTGCTTAAAATTATAAAGTTATGATCATTATAGAAGGAGGTGCTTAAAATAAAAGCAATTGTTTCAATCTTTAGTCATATAATTGTTTTTTTGTTATATTCCAAAAGAAAACTTATTCAAATAACTAAGGTAGAAAACAGAAGGTTCAAAAAACGAAAAACAGGACCAGATACCCATACTAAGTACTTAAATTTTATCTTTATGTATGTCTAATCATAAAAAAATCAAGTCATTATTGTGTCAGCGTTTAGCTTTTTAAAGAAGACCAACAAGTGTTACTTTGATCCTGTTCTGCAACAATGGTGTACCCTCAATTTGTTTACAATCAATATTTTTATAATATGACATTTAGCGATAGTGCTATAAGCTGCATCTGGCCCAGATGCAGCTTACAGCATTTTCGTTGAATGTCATATTAATAATGGACTATAGTGAACCTATAGTAAGAAATTAATGTACATTAACCATAAGTAAATAGTTCACTAACTGTAGGTCGTCTAAGTTATTATTAGTGAAAAATTAAGTTCAATACCTTGAGTTAAACTAGCATCAGAAAATGAGGTTGCAACAATCCACAGTACAGCAAAATCTTGCAAACTTTCCTGTCAAAAACGATGTAAAATAGAAATAGGTAATGCTTTTAAAATCACCACAACAAGAAGACCATAGCAAAAACCACTCAAACTCGTTGATGGCCAATCCAGTTGTAAAGGTCCAAAAAGAGATCTTTTCTCTGAAGAACCAAATAAAACAAATAACCAGAAAACCCAATTGACTACCTTTTTAGATTCAAATAATAAAAGGGTTTATTTCTATAGGATTACAATAAAATTTCAATTGAATATTGTTGGAACTATTTTTAATAGAGGCCAATCTAATAAGTGCCTATATTATTTAGGACTATGACTGTTCAGACCTACAATAGAGACCAACACAGTAACCAGGTATAAGCAACTCGTCTGTAATGGGCCAGAAGAAGTTTGAAAGTAGTTTAGAGTGAATCAGTGGAACTATTTTATTTATTTTTACAAACTGTTCTATAGAAAATTTCCAATTACAGAACAGGAAAAATATGACAAATTAAATACCTCAGAAAAGTACAATATAAAAAATGACACAACAATAAAGATTTAAGAAAGAAAAGAAGAACAGTTAGACTATTTAAATTGATACAATAATCACAGAACCAAATGTTTTATGTCCAAAATTGTACTGTTAATACAATTAATAAACATGACATGTAACGGAGATTCGCTTATAAATGTTGGTGCGAGAAGTCAAGTAAAAAATATCATTGCACCTAGAAGTTTGGCGGGGAGTCTTAAAATTTTACGTATACAGCAGGCGAGACAGCAGGTCTTTACAATTTATGTTGTTTATGACTGTATGCAGTGTAACCACTGAAAAATACTTGCGGCTTGCTTCAAAACTGTCTTACTAACAGTTCGTTAAGTGAGGTGCCAATTAAAGGATACACTTGGTCTCTTCGGAAACTTTAAATATTTGAGAAACCGTCCTTGAAGAGCCTCTAACCTATTAATGTGTACCTGATAATTGAGACTCCATATAACGAAGCTATTCAAGTTTTGAGTAGATAAACGCATAATAAAGAAACTTTAATGTATATGCAGCTTGCTGCAATTACTAAACCGTCAATGTGGTCATTGAAGGACAGTGCTGAATCGAAAGTAACGTCCAAATTCACAAAGTTATTCGGTCTGCATAATAAAGTGTTGCCTATACGGTAATTGTAAGCAATTGGATCAGAGCTTGCTCTATATTTTCGATGCTTTATTAGATTATCTTTATGGTAAAAACATTATTTTAATTGGCGATTTTAATGTCACACAGTATGCAGGAATGACGGATACTAACAATTCTAATCAGATTACCGACTCGCTAAAAAAATTTTGTAACTTTTTTGAATTTGATCAAATCAACGAAATAATAATAACAGATTGTTAAACTTAATCCTGTCAAATTGTCAGTGCACAGTTTATGAGGCTTATGATCTACTTGTTAAACAATTAATTCATCACCCACCACTTCTTGTGCCTTTCCAAATATCGTAAAACCAAGAACAGTTCAGCCATATATTATAACTATAAAAGAGCCAATTTAGCCGATCTTTATAGAAGTATTGCTGCAGCTGATTTGAGTGGTATCACTGAGGTCAACGACGTAAATGCAGCCTTTGACATTTTTTACTCGTAACTATCCACCGTGGTTTAATAGTAGCTTCATTAAAAAGCTGAAGAGAAAAGACGGTATGATTTTAGTCCGAATACAGGTATTCATAAGTACAACTAAAGGACTATTCTACTGTCACAGCAAGAAAGTTCCTATCTGAACATTTGTTGTTTGGAAGTAATCGAGTTTTTAACTATTTTTCACAGAAATATATATAGCTATCTTCTAAACCACTTTGTGAAACTTTTTAACGTTTTAGTACATTTAGTACGGTATCAAGAAAGACAAAACGTTGGCAAATGCAAAGAGATTGAAAAAAACTGCTAATTTTGAAGATATGACCTTTCTTGTTAAGATACCAGTATTGATGTATCGACTAGATAAAAGTGAACAAGTTGTCTTTGTGTCGAAGACGTTAAAGGTACTTTTCCTTGTCTTGGAGAGGAATTCATTTGGCAATTCAAACATCTTACCAGCGGTTTATACCTTAAAAATGGTGTCAACAAATGGTCTAAAGGAGAAATCATTGAAAAATGCCGGATTTGTGTTCCAGAAGGAATTAAATGAACCACATTCCTATATTCTTAGTCAATACTGAGCTTTACGATACATCTGAGCTGATATTGTAAAACGCAAAGCAGTAGTCAACAAAAGTAGCGCTTATTGAATAGTCCCTTAGAAAAGTTTTAAATCGTTGGGTTTAATAGAAATCTGTACAAATTATTTTTGTTTAAGGAAGTGACGTGCTATGTCCGGTCGAAAGTATTGATCAGAATGACAATAGAACGTCTATTATTATTCATCACCCCATTTAAGATAAGAGACGACACTTTAAACGTTTTTAAATTTAATCATGCGGGTAGAATTGGTTTTCAAATGAATTTTTTAGTGTATGGAGGTTCCTAAGGATCTAAAATTAGGCTATTCTTTGAAACTCATTCGTAACCACATAATAAACATCTGATGATCTTTTGGCATCTTCAATTGACCTATAATAATATTTTTTGTAACTGTTGTATGCAATTTGGTCAGATTCATTATTAGTGTAATCATATATAGTTTTTATTCCTGTTAAAGTATTGCGTTTTTTTTTGTCATCAGTATAAAAATTTGTCTACCAAAGAGCAAAAGGATTTTTAAAAAGATTTCACTTGAATGATGTACCTCGAAGTCAGGATTTTCTAAAAAAATCCCAATTTTTTTCATCAAGAGCGAGTCTTAGATCATCCAGAGATTGTTTTGAGATTTTCTAAATTTATTGATGTTTGTATTTTCATTAATTTCATATACAAGATATACAGTTTGACTTAAATGATCAGAGACACCTAAATTTAATACCCCCGGATTACTAACATTACAAGTATGGGTTGTAAGAATATTGTTGACGCAGTTCCGAAAGATTGCAAAATATTAAACCACTGGTATTTAATCTGCAAATTGATAACGAAATTGAAGATACTGATGAAGACAACAAAAATTAAAGAAACGTCGACATAATTTTTTTTTAAGCAGGATCTTTTGAAACTAACCTTGGCGGTGCCGGCGGATGGAAAGCCCCAGTCGGAGGCTGCATCCTGTGGTCCCAAACGTACCGTCCCTCGTGCGTTCTTTGGTCCACGGGCAAAGGCGCGTGAAAAGCGGCGAAAGCCGAGGGAAACTGCATCGGAAGTCCTGCGGACATAGCGGTTTGGAAATCCGCCTCTTTTTCCGGCATGTCACTAATCACATCACTGGACACTAAATCTGGTCGTCAATACGCGATCGGCAACCAAACGCATGTTTGTCAACACTCGAAATGTCAATTGTTCAGGTGCGTGTGTCGCACACGCTTCAAGGCGATACACTACGGTTACATACATAGAACTCTGCAGACAACATGGAACTAACTAGCGAGAAGAGGCAGAAGAATTTCGGTTGACAGGCAGGCCTTACAACTCAACTAAGTAGTGTGGGAGAGGGGTCAGGAGGGGAGGGGCCTATTTCGTCCGACTGTGAGGGAATAGGGAATGGACTCGCATTCTCTGATCTCTTGTTAAACCAGCGGCGGATTTTGAGGAGGAGCTAAAGGATTTTTAACGCTAATGTACTGATAGCGCGAGAGGCGTGTTATCGTACTAGGATTTTCATATGAAAGCAATTTCCTGATAGATTTTACATTAATAATGTTTGATAAGAACTTCTAAGACGAAGCTAGAGGCTAGGTATTTTAAATAAAAGCAAAAATGAGTAAAATAGGATTTGCTTTTGTTATGTTATATGATGAAGAGGAAATGATACGATAAATTTTACAGTGCAACTCAAATTTTACAAAAAATAAACAATAATTTCGATTTTTTATCATAAAATGTAGTGATAATGACATCATTTAATTAATACACACGTCTGGGTTAATTAAATTAAAATCGTTATCGTAATGTTTACTATAAATCGTAAACATGCTAAATATTTTTGTTTAATTTCCGAATTTTACAGAACTATCATGTTTTTTATTTCTTTTAATTACTCATATTCAATATTTACATTTTCGATGATTTTGTAAGTGAAATGAAAAAATATCAATAGTAAAAATATCGAAAAATGTAGAAAATCAAAGAACTTAGGGGGTAACTATTTTTTTATGAAATTTCTTAAATATGTAGTAACTTTACCCCCATAGAAATTCTAATTCCACTTGATTATCTAGGAAAAGATGGAGAAACTAACATCCTCAAAAAATTAATTTAGCGTTTTTTAATAAAACAGTTGAAATCTATGATTTTTTCTACATAAAATATTTTTTTTTATAAAATATATTTCCTTGTTTGATGTTTTATACGTACTAAAATTATCTAGAATGATCTAGAAAGGCAAAATTATTATTATAACCTTAATAAAATAATCTAAATTAAAAATTTTATAATTTTTTAAAACATTTATGATCTCAGTTTTTTAACAATGTCATTTTATGGTCCATACTTAGGACGTTAATTTTCTATATATTTTCTGTATATTTTCTGTATATTTTCTGTATATTTTCTGTATATTTTCTGTATATTTTCTATATATTTTCTATATATTTTCTGTATATTTTCTGTATATTTTCTGTATATTTTCTGTATATTTTCTGTATATTTTCTGTATATTTTCTGTATATTTTCTGTATACTTTCTGTATATTTTCTGTATATTTTCTGTATATTTTCTGTATATTTTCTGTATATTTTCTGTATATTTTCTGTATATTTTCTGTATATTTTCTGTATATTTTCTGTATATTTTCTGTATATTTTCTGTATATTTTCTGTATATTTTCTGTATATTTTCTGTATATTTTATTTTATGTGTATTTTATGTATGGTATCTGTATATTTTCTGTATATTTTCTGTATATTTTCCGTATATTTTCCGTATAAATTCCGTATATTTTCCTTATATTTTTCATATATTTTTGTATATTTTCTATATATTTTCTGTATATTTTATTTTATGTGTATTTTCTGTACATTTTCTGTATGATTTCTGTATATTTTCTATGTTTTCTGTATACCTTTTGAATATTTTTTGTATATTTTATTTTCTGTGTATTTTTTGAACTTGTCTGTACATTTTCTGTACGGTTTCTGTATATTTTCTATATATTATTTATATATTTTCTGTATATTTTCTGTATGTTTTCTGTATATTTTCTGTGTATTATTTTCTGTACATTATTTTCTGTATATTTTGAGTACATTGTCTGTTCGATTTCTATATATTCTCTATATGTTTTCTATATATTTTCTATATATTTTCCATATATTTTCTGTCTATTTTTCATATATTTTCCTTATATTTTCCGTATATTAGATCTATATTTTTTTTATATATTTTCCATGTATTTTTTGTATATTTTCCGTATATTTTCCATTTATTTTTCGTATATTCCTTGCATATTTTCTGTATTTTATTTGCTGTATATTATTTTTTGTATATTTTCAGTACATTTTCTGCTTGATTTCTGTATATTTTCTGTATTTTTTCTATATATTTTCTGTATATTTTATTTTCTGTGTAATTTTTGTACATTTTCTGTATGTTTCTATATGTTTTCTGTATATTTTCTGTATATTTTCTGTATATTTTCTGTATATTTTCCGTATATTTTCCGTATATTTTCCGTATTTATTCCGTATATTTCCCTTATATTTTTCACATATTTTTGTATATTTTATATATATTTTCCATATATTTTCTGTATATTTTATTTTCTGAGTATTTTTGTACATTTTCTGTATGGTTTCTTTATATTTTCTATATGTTTTCTGTATATATTCTGTATATTTTATTTTCTGTGTATTTTTTGTACTTGTCTGTACATTTTCTGTACGGTTTCTGTATATTTTCTATATATTTTCTGTATATTTTCTGTATATTTTCTGTATGGTTTCTGTATATTTTTGTATAATTTCTGTATATTATTTTCCGTATATTTTCTGTGTATTATTTTCTGTACATTTTCTGTTTGATTTCTATATATTCTCTATATGTTTTCTATATATTTTCCATATATTTTCTGTCTATTTTCCATATATTTTCCTTATATTTTCTGTATATTAGTCCTATATTTTCTATATATTTTCCATGTATTTTTTGTATTTTTTCCATATATTTTTCGTATATTCCTCGCATATTTTCTATATATTTTCTGTATTTTTTTTGCTATATATTATTTTTTGTATATTTTCAGTACATTTTCTGTTTGATTTCTGTATATTTTCTGTATTTTTTCTATATATTTTCAGTATATTTTCCATATATTTTATTTATATATTTCCATATATATTTAAATTGTTCATTATTTCTACATGCCTTTATAACTTGAGGTAATTTTTTCTTGGACCTATATAATTTCGTGAACAATAGGTTACTTTCCCTCTGGCCAGGGGCAAATGAAGAGGATGGTTTTGTCTCGTTGGATAACTGTAATATTCATTATTGTAGATACATTTCTTTAAATAAGGATAATTTCCAGACCGTAGTAGAATTTTATATGATTAAAAAATTTCTTGATTTATTCAGTCAAATAATTTTTATTTTTTATAATTTAAACACTAGCACTGCATATGTTTCGGAACATTTTTCCATCTTCTGATGCAGTCAATATTTAAAACACAATTCAAAAATATTAATAGAAGTCTCAGTTAAAATTTTAAATTTTTTAAAGTATTCCTTACACACTCTCAATGTAGCAACTAATGTACAGACTACAAAAATAAATATTTCATGTCCATTTGAGGTAGTGAGAAAACTGCAAAAAATTATTATTTTCCAAATAAGTTTTTAGAAAGGGGCGTAAAATTTAAAGGGGTTATAATATGCAATATAAGTGTGCATAAATATAGCATCAAATTTTGTGGAAAATGTTTTAAACATTCATATCGATCATCGAAAAGAAAACATATTTAAATTACCTCGAACAATTTTTGAGATTTGCTATAGACATTTTTCAATGAGTCACCCAGTATGGAAGCTTGAATATGTTGTATGCCAGACATATTGTAGCCAGTACCTTACCCTGCATTTGATGAGCTTTAAAATATGAATTTCAAAGCATGAATACCATTCTACTAATATAGTTATTTGAGACATAAAACTGATTTAAATATTAACACAACAAAGAAACATAAAATTAACATAAAACAATATGTTTATACCAAGTTAATTTTAAATTCTATATCCCCGCATAAAATTATGGGAGTAATAAAATATAATTAAAGGCTTGAATATTTTATAGAAGTACTACCTTATCTTTTAAATGCACGCTTTAAATGGAACATTGTGCTTGCATGATTATTATTTTAATGACATAATAACTTCATTATATTAAAACTGTGCCCGTGGAAAAATGCTTTGAGGATCAGGAAAATTGTGATAAAAAAGTATATTAAATCGCCTTGAGGCACCACTTGTTGGAATCAGGTTGAAAAATTGCGGTTATCTAAGTTTGCTAGACACGAAGCAACATTTTACAGATCATCAGTTTCACCTGATTAATTCTATAAATAAATACAAGTAAATCAAACTGAATGTTGAACGGTACCTTATTCGGTCTTATCTAATACAAATATCTTGTTACAGTTATTTGCTACTATTCCTTAGAGGTAACCAGGAGAAAAGGTGTGAATAGAAAATGTAATAATTCAATTTACAGAAAAACTGATAATTAATTCAAAAAATGTTGGAAGAGTCACACTCAAGAACAAGTCGCTACAGATACATAAAGTGTTTCAAAAAGGAAAGGAAGAAACTACAAAAAAAATAACGAAAACGATAAGAATACAATCAAAAAACTAGAAATAAAAGAGAAATGAAAAAATAATAATAGAATAACAAAGGAATAACAACGGAATGAGTGCTTATGGAGAATAAACAATAAACAGAAATGGAATGAATATGATATACTATTATTATTAATATCTTTATTTAAGCTACATAAAATAAATACATAATACAATATGGAAGAAATATATCATACATACAATAACTGCAAAATAGAGCCGACAAACAGTAAAACTGATACAAAGTGTCGGATTTAACAAAATAAAAACAAATATAAACAAATGAGTAAAAAAAATTATGAAATATAAAACACTATTTAAATTAGTTTTAGAAAGAAAATTATGTAATGTTCTCGAATTATATCAAATCCGTTTATATTCTTTTGTGAAACGGTCGATTACAAATTGTTTAATTGTTTGGGGAACACCATTGTATAGCTTGTAAATTTTATAAGAAAAAGAACTTTGAAACATACTGGTACGATGAGGTGGTGGAGATATGTAACTACGAGAACGAACGTTAATATTATGAATATGCAGCCTGTAAACAATTTTTTTAAATAAG